CATAGCAGCAATGTCAACATCACTATTATCAAGTCACATCACTAGACCACATGGAGTTGGCATGCTAACTGATTTGGTTCACGTCAACAAAATTGCGCATCAATGAAGTTCTTGTTGTCGATGATCTCGACATCGGGGCTCCTGCGAAAGTTCCAACGAATGACGTCATTCGTCAGAACGTCTAGGGCCTGTTATACTACTACTAGAGAGAGACTACAATGAAACATGATAGTATGTTACGTAGTATGTAGCGACTGCACCAAAGTGAACCCAGGACTCGATAGGTTTCTCCCGCGCTAGATCTTTGATTTGTTGGCTTGTTTTCAACAGTTCTTGATTTTTCGGGTTGTTGTCAACTTGTTGATACCATGTACATGTACTACATGTACATGTACATTATTGTTAGATTGACAGCATGAAACAAGGTGGAGGACACTGTGTTCGGAAACAGTGACCTTACAACCTTCCGCGGTTGGCAGAGCCCCGGTCACCGCGGAAGGTTGTAGTAAGGTCACTGTTTCCGAACACAGTCACTGAGTGTCCTCCACCTTGTTTCATGCTGTCAATCTAACAATTTCGTGAACTATAACAAGGTTTATCTAATACAGGTTTTTAACCAATGTTAGGTTATATCATGTTTAATTACACGAGTCACAGGAAAACCACGCGTCTTGATTGTTATGTATCTTCTTCTGGGCTATCTTCTGGGTTATCAGTGCCTCTCGAAAGGCTACATCCTGTACTGCCTCTGCCTACCCTTCCGCCTCACTGACCATTATCTTTACTTATAAAAGAGAGGCACCTGTGACGTGTGTCTGTGTGTGTGTCACGCTCCTTATAAAGAAGAGGCACCTGTGACGTGTGTTTTTGTGTCACGCTGAAGCGCGCTGCGGAGCAGCGCTGCCCTGAGCACGCGAAGGGTGCGAACAGTGTAGCACAGTGTAGCTAGCGGCCGCAGAAGCACTGAGCACGCGAAGCGTGCGAATCGTGTAGCTAGCGGAAGCAGCCACAGCACTGAGCATGCGAAGCGTTCGAATCGTGTAGCCACCACCACGTGCTGAGCACGCGAAGCGTGCGAACAGTGTAG